CCTATCTCTTGGCCTTCCTTCTTTTCTCTATTAGACTGTGGGGGTCCCTTCTGTGGGAACTTGTGGGAACAGCTGGTGCAACTCAAGATGCATTTCAAGTTTAACTGTTGCCTTCCAGTTTCCATTCAGAAGCCATTTTCTGTTTTGAAGTTACGTTTCTAATAGCAAAAAGGTTTTGAATGGTGCACAGAAGTAGAACAAAGGAAAAATATGGCACTACCCCAGTGTAGTGTCATTGTAATATTTAAAAACTTTTCAGGTAAATAATTCTCAGACACAATCCCCAACACAATGCTACTGCTTTATATGCATTTCCGTATTTTTTTACATAATACAGTATAGTAACAGTAAGTCAGGAATGTGCCAGAGGTATAGAAAACTGTATATTAAGTTGGGAAGGAAGAAGGAGGAAACATGGGATGAATCAACAGTAGGGAGATTGGACCCCTCACCAGGAAAGTGGCTGCTGTCTACTCACATTTAGTGAGCTTTGAAAGAGGGTAATGTCTTGTTTCCTTTTCTGCTTTACTCAGATATAGGTTATTCTGGGTTACTGTGAGAAGAAATGCAACAAAGCATATGTTTTGAAAATGGTCATGAACTAGTACTGTAACTAGAAGTTCACTGTTTATAAATGGGCTGTGCCACCACTGCCACACATTGTTTTTTAGGGTAGGGGTGTTCTGCCTGTCCTAATGAATTTATTAAGAAATACAGAAGAACTGCTATTAACATTAACTCATTTGACTTACCCCTTCCAGTGCTGATTACATACACACTTGTTCTAGTATTCCTTTTTTTTTTTTTTAAATAATAAATTAAAACAATCAACAGAAAACACTTCATTATTGTAATTAATGCTCTGGTTGATACACATTAAACATGGGGCTAATATAGATGTCTTGCGGGTTTGCGGAACTAAGTATAAATTGAGATTTTAACATGGTGTTCTCAGGGAACAGGAACCTCTGTTTCAATAAATACTCTGCAGAATGAAGAGTCCTTGCAAATCAGGAGACTGTATTTCTACCTGAGGCTAGGCTGTAGTGGATACATGCTTCTAGGCCTTCAGAAGCCAATGCTACCTCTGTATTTAGTTACATGCATTTAAAGTAAAACTTCAGAGAAAAATTTCAAATATTAAACATAAAAGAAATTTCTTCTTTTATGCATCTTGTGATCGGTGTATCTACCTGCTCACTTAAATGAAATATAGACTTTGTTAATTACCTCATCATTTAATTACTAGTTTTCCTAAATACTATAGCCTTAAGTGATTTTCTTCCCCACTTTTTTTTACATTCTGCCTGTGATCTCTGCAAAAGGGATAAGTTAATGACACTTTTAAAAATGTACAGTGAAACAAAAAAAAAACAACCAAACCCCAACCTAGAAGTGTGAGGCATAAAGTCATTAGAGCAATATCAGCTCTGTCATAGCATACATCTTGCATATCTAACGGAGTATCTTCTAACTTCACATTTAACAGGAAACTGGGGCAGGAGGCTGTGATTGTCGTTATCTTACAGAAATCTTAGTTTTAGATTTTTGAGGGGTTATTATCTTCCAATATAGGCTCAAATTATTGAAAACTGAGTTCTGATATAAAAATACAAACAAAAAGTCATTAATTTAAGACCATTGCATTGCAGAGCAGTACTCTTTCAGTGTTCGTTCACAATATGTTAGGATATTTTGGATGAACAAGTTCCTAATGTAACTACATTGCCAAGCATTCTTTCAATCAGGTGTGATGTTTTCCGTAACCAAAAGTAATCTCAGTTTAAAGCTTTAAAATGCAAGTATAACAATACTCCTGAAGTCCCTCCATTAAAGGAAGGAATTTACGTTACAATTTTAGTGATGTGTACTGATACTAAAAGAGCGTATCTTTTTCCTGCCAGAAGTGGAAATGGCAGTCCTTTATGTTTTGTGGTTTTATGCAGTGGGTGTATATATGTATTTTCTCTGTGCTTTGCCATAGCATGTATGTGACCAGAAAGGCAGCCTTATCAAGGATTGGATTCTTCTGAGTCTTTCTGCTGTGTTAATTTAAAATCAGATCAGCTCCCTGACTGAATTGTCTGTGTGGCCACAGCAGCACTATGGCTGCTGCAAGAAGTAAAGTTGTGCAAGGGAGGCGGGTGTATCAGCCATATCAGAGATTTACGTTGGTATATGCCACTTGAGAAACCACACCCTAGGCAGCAGTCCGGCCTTTTTCGTACGCCCCTAACATACATCCCTATTGCCAGAAGGATTTACTAGCAAAGGGGAAATAAATACCTAAGTTAAACGTGATTGGACTGTAGGTCCTGGCCTTGTTTGTGGTGTTGCATAGTCTGTAGTTGCAGTCAGGTGTTTTTGCCACCTGTCACCTTTTTCTGCATGCAATAGAACATTGTTAGCTGATGGATTGTACATGCTTCCTCCCACTGAAGAGTTGTCTTGCTTCCATGTATGGGGGAGGAGGGAGCCTGCGTTTGTGTTCCAGTGCAGTGTTGGAGTGACTTTGATGGGGATGTGGATGGCTGTTTTTCCTGTTTTTCTTTCCATTAGGAGAGAAATAGAATAAATTGATCTAAGTTTTGAAGAATTCTGTAGTTAAATTATTTTATTAAGTAATCAAAATAGATAGTTCCTGCTCCAGTGAAACATCATTTGTCACATTGGCAATGATGCAACAGCAGCCTGGACACTAACTATAAAGCAAAACTTAAATAACTTAAAATCCTTGACAACTATGTGCTTTCAGAATTTTTTAAACCTTGCTTCCTTTTCCTCTCTGCATTTCCAGGAAGTGGATTGAGACCTCTTTTTATAATTCGTTGCTAGTTGAAACTGTTTCTTATTTTTAGAATCGTAATTCTGGGGTCTTGTTTAGAGTTAAACTGACTTGGTTAAACTCTAGTAAAATATAAGAGATCCTGATCTCTGGAGCCCCATTAAAACTGAGTGGGAAATGAAAAGTAATTTGTAGACGTTAAAATAGTAAAGCCTCAAAATCTTTTTGGTCACATTTTTATTTTTTTTTTTAAGCATTTTAGGGAATGTTAGATTATAAACTTTGAGATCAACAAAGAGATTTTAGCTGTGTCGGCACAGGTATATTTGAGAGGCTCCCAGCTGATGCCTCATTGCTTGCTCTCATGTGGCTGTAAAGTGCTCCTGCAGGGCTTTGCTATAGATAATTGCATTGCACAGGCGTACAGTGAAATGGGGTGGAAAATTGTGCTGCTCAACTTTAGCGAAGAGCAAAACCAAATCTGCTCTCAACCTTTGCGCAGCAATAAAGGTTTATGGTTGGGTTAACGAGCATCTTTTTTTAAACCATAAATTACAGTTTCTCGAAACGTACAGTCAAATTAAAAACAGTCTTTTGCTGATTTCATAATGCATAGGTGCATAGCATCGCTGTTTGAAACAAGTCGTTAAAGCCTGGGGTTTTAGTAATAATTTCTTTCTACAGGTGGAAATGGTTCACGTTAAGAATATTTTAGAATTCTAGGTGTGTTTTACATTTAAATGATTCTAGATAGTATGGCACTGTTTTTAATAGAACACTAATGTAACCTTGCTAAGCTATATGACACCATTGTTGTGGTGAATAAAAAGGCATAGTTCCCTGTAGACTAATAAAACTATCTTCCTAGGTAATTGAGTTCCCAGATAACGTTTCAAGGTCACGTTATTTCTGCTCATCTCAACTTACTGATTCATTTTATTGAAAAGAACTCTATTTCTCACAAGGCAGCCTGTTCTCCTGTCTAGCTGATGTTTTTTCCAGTGCACGGTATGGTTACAGATGTGAGGGAGAAAAAGCTATTAAGCAAGAGTACAATAAGTAGGATAGGGGAATGCCCTTTAGCAGTTGATAGGAATAGTAGTAATTCACTGAGAAGTGGAAAACTTAAATTCTGTGGGTTTCAGGATAGCTGAATCTTGACTTTTACAAGAAAAGGAACCATCTCACCATATGGTAAAGAAACCATGAATTATATTCATACAAGAAAGCATCTGTGCCATGCTGAGTGTTGTGATATGCTACTTTTGATCTGAGAAAAATAATAATTTTTCTTTAAGGAGATTGAATATTTTGGAGGAGATTTGTTTGTTTATTGTTCTAGAGATTTTTAAATAATTAGAATGCTTTTAGATATTAGTCACAACGAACATCCACAATTCAAGATTTCTAAAATCTGAAACGTGCATATTGTATCTTAAAAAGAGTGGTTGCTTCTTTAGCTGCACATTTCAAATCCACTTACAACAAAAATATCAATAATCTTTAACTTTTTTTAAAAAAAAGTATTGCTAGTCTTACAATATATAGATTTCTTTAGAATCAGCAGATAGAATAGATTTAAATTATCTGAATTTTTAATGCATTTCCAGTTGTACTTAGAGTATCAAAAAAAAGAATGATAGTTTGCTTTATGTTTCTAAAATGACTTAAATTGAGGAGAAATACAGCCTGGATTTAATAGTTTAGAATCTTCCAAACTAATGCACATAGTGTGGAATCCTATTGATAGGATTTATTTTCCATACTTTGTGTGCTGTTAAATTCTGATACTTTTCAGTGAGCTGTTTGTGTTTGATGTTGATCAAGAATCTATTTGGTGTACTCAACTGTACACTGTTGTTGCATATGTATTGTCCAAATCTATGACTGTAAATACATGATATGCTAAAATATTTACTAGCAATGCACAAGGCTACTTACACCGTGGAGGAACAGAGAAATGCCAAGTTTGTCTATACAAAATATATATCTCCACTACGTTCTTTTGGAGATAATGGTAGTTGTATTTATGAATGTTAGATATGTATAGTGTAACGCTTTTCATCTTAAAAAATAATAGTCTTCGTCATTGCTAAGAAATAGTTTAGGATTTGTAAATCAGTTCATGTTTTAAAGCACAAAGCATGGTAGCCTCAAAATTAAACCAAAACTGAAGTTTGTGTTGACTGGAATTATGTGTGTTGTGTCCCCCTAGGAGGAGCAGGCTGCTAAACTCAAAGCTGAGAAGATTAGGGTTGCGTTAGAGAAGATTAAAGAGGCACAAGTAAAAAAGGTAAGTTTTATTTATACTGGTTTATTTATACAGGTTTATGTAGCGTTCTTGGTTTAAGTTTGGAGTTTTTCAGTAGCTTAAAATGCCTTTTACATTTAATGTTTATACATCAAAAGCTGTTATATATCTATATATCTATATATATATCTGTATATCTATATCTCAAAAACTGGCTGTAAGATAAGAATTGATAAGTCAGTGTATTACAATTAGTGCATTTTAACTTTTTTGGCTGAACAAGGTGTAAAACAGGAAGCATAATGATTGGCAAGAAGAATCTATTGTCTTAAGTTTTTTGATTGTTTAAAAAAATGGCTGCATTTTTCTTTCTGGACAGCAATCACTTTAAAGTGCCTATAAAAAGCCATTGTGTTTTCAAAGCAGATTTCTTTCACACTAGTGCTTTATACTCCCCAGAAAAAGAAGATTTATTATAGGTATACTGTTAACATAATCATCATTTTTATAAAATATAGCGGAAGTGGGCAGAAAGCTTGAACTGCAAATGTGAAAAATTCTCATTCTATACAAGGTTGTGCAGAACTGTGTTCCACCTAGATATGTGAGACAAATTGTCACAAAGACACTTTATTTATTAATCAGTGTCTTTGGCAGTAGGGATTTTATTTTCCTCCTTAATGTGCAACTAAAGCACGTTGTCATTGTATTGGGAAGATCTTTATACTTACTCTCTTATACTGAAGGAGAACAGTATCTTGTTAAGTGTCTGTGATACAAATATCTAACCATCATTTATGGCTTTTTACATTTTGAGGGGGTGTTCTGACTGAACTTAATTATTTTAGAGGAGGGCTACCAAGATGATCAGAGGGCTGGAAAACCTCTCCTATGAGGACAAGCTGAGAGTTGGGCTTGTTCTGCCTGGAAAAGAGAAGGCTCCGAGGAGACCTTAGAGTGGCCTTCCAGTACCTGAAGGGTGCCTACAAGAAGGCGGGGGAGAGACTTTTCACAGAGGACTGTAATGACAGGATGAGGGGTAATGGGTGGAAGCTGAGGGAGGGGAGGTTTATATTAAATATAAGGAAGAATTTTTTTACTGTGAGGGTGGTGAGGCACTGGAACAGGTTGCCCAAGAAGGTTGTGGGTGCTCCATCCCTGGCAGGGTTCAAGGTCAGGTTGGATGGGGCCTTGAGCAACCTGGGCTAGTGGAAGGTCTCCTTGCCCATGGCAGGGGGGGGTGGAACTAGACGATATTTGAGGTCCCTTCCAACCCAAACTATTCTATGATTCTATGATTTTATGCGATTTTAAGAAAATCTCAGAAAAAGGAACAAGATGGTAAAACCCATGTTATTTCAAATGTGGGAAATTAATCCTTGTTTTCCTGATTTTTCTGCTTAATAGTTGGTGATCAGAGTCCATATGTCTGATGACAGCTCAAAAACAATGATGGTGGATGAGAGGCAGACAGTGAGACAAGTATTAGACAATCTGATGGACAAATCGCACTGTGGTTACAGTTTAGACTGGTCATTGGTGGAAACCATCTCTGAATTGCAGATGGGTAAGTAATAATTCTTTATGTATTTATCCTATATAAAAAGTGTAATTCTTATCTATTGATGTAATACTTGTCTATATCTGTGTCCTCAGAACAATTTAAACTTCATAATGTTCATCATGCTGTTCATTCATGTAGTAATAAATGTAATAAAGCTCATGAATGATGTTTCAGAACGACCTGTAAATGTTTTCTTTTTTCATGTTAAAAGCGTGTGATATAGGAACTTTGCTAATGTGTAGTCACTGAGCCTCTTGGTTTTGATGTGTTCCTCACAGAAGAAAGATGTAAGGGATAAAAAATCTTACTGTGTATCTTCCTCTTTGTAAATAGTATTTTGTACTGATCATAATAGCTCTTATTACAAAAAGCTGTCTATGTTGTTCTTCTGTTAAATATTTTAATGCCATTGGCAATATGGCTTTAAGGGCAGTTAAAGCTCCTTTGTGTTGCATTGCACATACCACAATGAAAGTTGTTCCTTTAGACAAAGGATATAGCATCTGAATGGAAAAGAAGGGGAAAAATGATAGAACAATGTTATCAATCTCCATTATCAGAGAAGAATTACATCAGAGAGCTGTGAAGCACCCTACCAGTTGCCTAAAGAAAAACCCAGAACTGAACCCAAATATCTTGATTTAAAACTAAAATACAAATTAATATTTCCTCTCTCTTTTGCTGAAAACTTTTCTATTTCAGGCAGTGTAACATGTTAACTTTGCTTATTGTTAAGCAAAAAAGGCTGTTGTAGGGTGACAAGGTATCCTTTGAATCATCTACCTTTCATATGACAAATAATATCTTACTAGGCTGAAAACCTCAAATTTTTAATAAATGGAATCTTAAAAGTTGCCCAGTTTTGAACGAATATGCACAAGTTCTATGTAAATCCAGATTTGGTATATAAATATCAAAGGTGTAATTCTGTAACATGCTACCAATGAGAATAGTATAAATAAATAACCTTTTTAGTTCTGCAATAGTTTTATGTTTCTGTCACTGAAAAATATCTGTATTTGTAGGTAGCAGGATCCTGAACTCAGGGTTCAACCAGGAGTCTTTCTCATCCTAGATTTGCTTTCATAAGACACTTCCATTCACTGTGCACCTGGAAAGAATAAAGAAAGGAATACTGGAAAAAATATTTTCAACTAATGTTAGAAACAGAGAGCTAGGCTGCAGACAGAAAGATAAACTGATATTTATCCATATTAACAGTGTGACTGAATTGATGGTTTTGAAATGAAACCAGGGTTAACAGATCTCTCTTGTTGGGTGTTTTGCAAGTATATGCATGCTCTACTGTATGGCTTAGTGACATACTGGAAATGACAGAATTTGACTGCTGTATTGAAAGAGTTTCAAGCTAAAGAACAACATCTGTTATAATTACAGAATTTTAAATTCAGACTACAATGTGATAAACCTAAGAGATGCAAGAGGGTAGAATTCAGTTTCCTCTTTATTTTTCAGTTTGGCTTTCCTTGATCCTCAGTAGAGCAACTGTTAGGTAGTTTTTTGTACATTTCACATGTGTGGGGTTTTTTTAAAAGACAATCCAAAATTCAGCCTGATTCATATATTTATACTGGAACTTGAAAAACACATGATAAATTTGTTACAACAAAGCCAAAGTACCCTGTGTACTATTGTACTAGTGTTTTGCTAGTGGTTCATCTTTTGAAACTTTTTTTTCTGGCATTGCCTATATAAGAGGAAGGAACTCCTTTATATTTTCCTCCAGCGAGACACAGAAAACCTATATATGTTCACAGTGTGTTTTACCATGTTCTCTTGTCAGTTGATTGCTCATTGATTGTGCAGTTCAATAAAATGCAACGAAAACTTTAAGCTAACAAACTGCAAAGAAAGACATGAGACATGTGGAGTTCCTGATTGTCTTTGCATTTTATGTGGTCTACTTAAAGTGTGTGTGGTTAACTAGTTTTTGAGGACTCAGATTTAGGTACCTGAAGTAGAAAGCCACCTGTTACTATCTAATGGTTTAACCAGAAGCTTTATGTGTACTTTCAGAAGAACTTAGGGATACTTTTTCCAGAATGCAGAGTGAAATGTTTGCCCAGTTTTACCCTGCAAGTTTGTAATAGAAATAAATCTGTAAGTTTTCTTTTGGTTGGGACAAATGTTGGTTTCATCTTTTTAGTTGAAGCAGAGTATGTCTATGAAGTATCTGTGAGTTAGAAAGTTTTAATTTTACAGAGAATGTTTAATAATAGGAACATTGTATGCAGTTTTACATGCTATAGGTACATACATAAAACAACTTACTCACTGTGTATGAGTTCAATTGTTGTTCTTCCTGTAGTAAGAGTTAGTATGTTTTGAAAGCTGTGCAGTTTTCTAAGGAGGCTACAGTGAAATTTAAGCTTTTGTATCACAGTCCTCTGAAGTGTTTGGGGTTTTTTTTTTCTTCTATTAAGTAACACCTTTTTTTTTTTTTTTACTTTCTTGGAAGACAGTATTGCTGTGTTGCTGATAGAGCTTGATGGAGGTTTTGAGTTGTAACTCGAAAGCTTCTTAGATCTCACTGAGACCTCAGTAATGTGACGTTGTCATGTCAAACTGAATTCATTCCCTACAGATGACATTTTGTTGCATTCACTTTGCTTAGTATTCTTAATTACCAAAGATGTTGAGATGTCAGATGACATCTCAGTCTTCATTAGTGATAGCTTCTAGGTCTAGATGTGATCAGTGCCATATACCTTCTGTAACAATGTGGTGTAATTGATTTTGTGGAGAAAAACATGTTCCGTTTTCAGGTGCAATTGAAAGGTCGAGCAGGTCCCAAAGGATTCTGAAAGAAACAATTTGCTGAAATGCCACTGTGTGGCCTATGTGAAGAGGGAACAGATTGCAGGAAGCAGGATTCTATTTCACTGTCTTTGAAAGGAGGAGGAAGTTGGTTTGGTGGTTTCTCCAAAATGTATTCTTCCTTATTTATTTTAGAATAAGGGTGGTTTTCACATATTTCTCTGTTTCAGTAAATTTTCCTCTTTTTTTGTTCTCTTTTGCCTGTTTTCAGTATCTTGTACTAGTGATAACTATTTCAATAGAGAGTTAAAGCTCAGAGTTCTCAGAAACCATTGTTGATACATCATTTATTCAGCAAGATAAATTGTAAGAAACAGACACTGTCAGTTTTCAGACTTCTTCTACAATACCCCCACTAACTATGGGTATCCTGCATTTTGGAAGCATTTTGTTTTCCCTGTGATCATTGTCTGTTACTATTTTTGATACTTGACAAGTGAGATGGTGATTTAGGATGTAGGAAAAAAAAATGTGCTGAAAAAGCTGCCTAATTAATTCCTCTAGGGATTGTGTGGACCAGAATACATATAAATGTAATAACCTTCTTATTTATACTCATAACATTTGAAGTGTCATAATTTTGAATCTGCTCTGTTCACATGGGGTGGTAGGCTTTGTCAGGTGAAAAAAAAAGTAAAACACTTCATATATTGATGGAACTATAAGCCTGAAGAGACGTTAAACAAGTGTTGAGTGAGTGTGTGTGTAAAATTAAACCAGGCTTGTCTGAAATTTGACTTAAGTTATTTTATTTTCTTAGTGTAAACTTATTCTACATTTTAGTTGAATTCTATTTTCATTATGTATATGCCCTGTCTCCCAGGTATGTCTACAGAATAGTTTCTATCACAAAATGGGACAGATTCAAATGTATTTGCTCTTTTGTTACTGCTGCAGAAAGGATCTTTGAAGATCATGAAAATTTAGTTGAAAATCTTCTGAATTGGACAAGAGATAGTCAAAACAAACTAATGTTCGTGGAACGTATAGAGAAATATGCACTTTTCAAGAATCCCCAGGTAAGCCTGAGATTCACGTTGAATACGTGTGTGCATGCACATGTGCATGCCTAATTGCAGCTTCTTATTTTTTTTGGTAGCATTCACTTTCATACTTTTGTTTTGATACTTGTGTATGTATTAAAATACCAGGCAACTTTACATTTCGGCACCATGTATATCCACTTTGTGGTTGGCACAAAATCAAATCCCCAGCAGAAAACCATGAGCTGAAGCAATCTGTTTGCTAATGTGCTTGTGGGTAATTTTAATGGAGATGAAAGCAAGCGATTTTATGGCATTTATACCAATACTTAGTGCTGTCCAGATATGTAAATATGCAAGAAGGGTGTTGACAGATAGTGCTAATAGTAATGCCTCTCCACTGTGCATTCTTATGTTGGTGGCAAGAACGGAAGAGAAAACAGAAGAGAATAGCTACTCCATGGTCAAATGGCAATTGAAGAGAAAAGAGCATGTGTCCCTCTCTGTGGAAGCTGGGACCTGCCTATATTCACCTGTGTTTCGTGTTTCCTGGCTAGGAAACCAAAGGCTCCTCTTCTCTCTCAAATGGCCTCAGAGGCCTTTCTTCACTCACATGGTAGCTACAGCTTTCATATCTGGCAGCAGTTCAGTACTGTAACGGAGCTGAGGAGACGAAGTAGAAAGTGGCTCATTGAAGAACTTGAATTGAAGAGAACTGGATATAATATCACTTGCTCTCTCTCTCTTAACTCTTATTTTACCCCCCTTTGGGGGTCATAGATTATATCTGTATAGGATCTGTGTGGTAATTTCTTGGTTTCAAACTGAGTATCAGTTTTGCATCCTCATCCTTCGGAACACCATCAGTGTGGTTTGATTTTTATTTTTTTTAAAAGCAAGAATTGAAAACCAAGTCTTGTTCAAGTGCTTTGTGATGAAACAGCAAAACTAAGTTCTCTTTAAAAGCATGTAGTTGATGCATTTACCGTCAGGACATATGGCAGGCATTCTCAACAAAAATGAGGTACTAGCATCATGTCTCCTTGGCTTAAAATACTGGACAGGCTAAACTTTGTGAATATTGTTTTTTCCCAGTACAAGAGCTAGGGGTTAAGAAGAGGAAGATTTTATTTTTCTCAGTCCTTTCCAAGCTGAAGAAGAGTACAGAACTTCTTATTAAATAATATAGGGTACCTATGCATAGTTAGGTTCCTTTTAAGACAAGGAGTATTGAGTAATCCTTCATGAAAAATAAATATTTTTATTCAGCAAAACTCTCAGCCTAAGTAGTACATTGCTTCTGTGTATCCTTCTTTGAACACATAAATAATGGCAGTATGTAACAAGTTTAAAGATCTCTGGCTTTTTTAATACTGTGAGATTTTCACAGAATCACAGAATCATTCAGGTTGGAAAAGACCCTTGGAATCGAGTCCAACCATCAGCCCTACTCAACAAAGTTCTCCCCTACACCATATCCCCCAACACCACATCCAAATGACCTTTAAACACATCCAGGGACGGTGACTCCACCCCCTCCCTGGGCAGCCTGTTCCACTGTCTGACCACTCTTTCTGTGAAAAATGTTTTCCAGATGTCCAGTCTAAACCTCCATTTGTGGCAGTTTAAAGCTGTTCCCTCTTGTACTGTCTCTAATTACCTGAGAAGAGACCAACCAACCTCTCTACAGTGTCCTTTCAGGTAGTTGTAGGGGAGTGATGAGGTCTCCCCTCAGCCTTCTCCTCCTCACACTAAACAGTCTCAGCTCCTTCAGTCACTCCTCATAGGATTTGTTCTCCAGGCCCTTCACCAGTTTCATTTCCCTCCTCTGCCCTCGCTCCAGCACCTCAATACCTCTCTCATGTTGAGGTTCCCAAAACTGGACACAACACTCCAGGTGTGGCCTGCCCAGTGCAGAGCACAGGGGGACTGTCACCTCCTTACTCCTGCTGGTCACACTATTTCTGACACAAGCCAGGATGCCATTGGCTTTCTTGGCCACCCGGGCACACTGCTGGCTCATGTGCAGCTGCTTGTCAATGAGAACCCCCAGACCCTTCTCTCCCAGACAGCTCCAGCCACACCTCCCCGAGCCTGTAGCCATGCAGGGGGTTGTTGTGGCCCAAATGCAGGACCTGGCACTTGGCCTCGTTGAAGCTCATCCCGTTAATGTTGGCCACCGATCCAGTCTGTCCAAGTCTCTCTGCAGAGCCTCCCTGTCCTCGTGCAGATTGACACTCCCACTTCACTCACTGATGACACACTCTATGTCCTTATCAAGATCATAGATAAAGGTGTTGAACAGAAATGGTCCCAACACTGAGCCCTGAGGTCACCACTTGTGACCAGCCACCAGCTGGATTTAGCTCCACTGACCACCACTCTCTGGGACCGTCCAGCCGGTGCTTGACCCAGCAGACCGTTCCTTCACCCAGGTCATGGGCAGCCAGTTTTTCTATGAGATTTCTATGGGGAACTCTGGCAAATGCTTTTTGAAGATCCAAGAAGACAATATCCACAGACTTTCCCTTGTCCAATAGTCAGGTCATCTTGTCATAGAAGGAGATCAGGTTTGTCAGGCAGGACCTGCCTTTCATAAACCCCCGCTGACTGGGCCTGATCCCCTGGTTGTCTGTTATATGGCTTTCAGTGGCACCTGAGATGACCTGCTCCATGACCTTCCCTGGCACCGAGGTCACACTGACAGGTCTGTAGTTTCCCAGATCCTCCTTTCTATCTCTCTTGCAGATGGGTGTCACATTTGCCCCCCTCCAGTCCAGTGGGACCTCCCCAGTTACCCCTGACTCCAGGTAAATCATGGACAGCGGCTTGGCGAGCACATCTGCCGACTCCCTCGGCACCCTTGGGTATAACCCATCCGGTCCCACAGACCTGTGTGCATCCCAGTGGTGCAGCAGGTCTCTGACCACCTTCTCTTCAACTGTGCTGACCTCAGTCTGCTTCCCCTCCCCAT